ATCCCTCCATCCCCTCGTTTCATGTCTCACTGCTTCACGGGGTTAATGAAATGCCCCATTTGAAGAGCTGGAATGAGGGATTGTTAAAGTCCATACGAGCTTTCAACCTCCTCCTATGCGTTTCCTCAACCTGTGCCTTGATGCATGAGCGCTGACGACACATGGCAAATGTATTCAACTGGGGAGCTAATGATGAGCTAAAGCTCTGAAATCCTTTCTCACTAATCGGGGTGTTATTTGTTACTTCAATTCCCTTCTTAACGATTATACCGTTCAATCAAACACATGTAATATAAAGAGGAAATATTCAGTTAAAGACGTTTAACATCTTCTCAAAAAAATAGACCTCACATGGTCGTTTTTCAGCTCTGACACTCTTGAACTCACATAGCTGTGCTTACTGATGCCTCACTGATGGACAGTTGCCAGTATCACAGGCATGCATTACAGGAATGTAATGCATTCTTTACAGGCAAGAGAGCCAGATGGCTTTAAGGAAAAGGTGTCATTTAGAAAAATTGCATTAATTGTATTTCTTTCAACCAGTAGCAAACATTTGCCCATGATTTTTTAATTTATATTTTTACGATTGCAGGGCACACACTAAGCCAAATGTGCACATTTGATTCTATACTGTGGTTAGTGATGCATCACCTGACAGCTGACTGATGAAGCGCTGACCTTTTACTCCCACCCTTGTGGGCAATTCTCTGCTTCATGGAACTGTGGTGGTCTGCCTGCACTGACACTTGACTGTTGAAATGAATTATGACTATGTGGGAGAATAATAAAAAAGAAGCAGAGAGACAGTGAACCTTGCAGATGAATGAGGCAGACGAGGCCCCCACAATCACACGCTTTCACCTGATCCCTCTGATTCCCTCGCACCGTCTCCTACTCCCCTTCATTATCTTTGATCGTGTTTACAATGCAGTTGTTTACCTGTGGCTTATTCTTTGTCAACATCCAGGTTCACCTCCGGCTATAAATGCTTGTGAGACACTTTTCAAGCTGAGAAAGTTTAAAATTTCAAACTGCACAGCTGTAATGGGAGCAGACAGCTTTGCCTTCCTCGTATGAAAGGCTTCAGTTATCGAGGCTGAACCAAACAGGCTGTTTGATCAGCAGAAAAGCTTTAAAGAACTGAACATGGTATCCCCCCCCCCCGTAGCAGAAATGCTCCATACTGTAGTTCCCCCACTGTGAGGGTGTAAAGTGCAACAATTTTTCTTCCCTGCAGAATAGAAGATGTCTTTGTTTGTGTGTCTGTTGTGTGTGCCTGTGTGTGAGTTTGTGCTAGCTCCTAAAACCTTTGTAGCTGTCGGGCGATTTAACTAGAATTTATCCTTTGAAAATTCCTCCTGCACATTTTTCAGGCTTCTTCATTTTTTTTGCCTTACATTAAAAAATGTATTCATTGCAGTGGTGGTGCACTGTATGGTCACACTCTACTGAGATCTTATTATATAGTTCATGTAGTTGTTAAGGCCCATGCATCATGCATAGCATATCATTTTGTAGGGCAAATGATAGAGAACCTGTGTGTGAGAACAGCGCTTATTTCTTTAGTGTCCTCCGTGTGTCTATCGTGCTTGTAGGTTTCAGTATACATATGCTTGTATGTATGTTAGTATGTGACTGTATAGAGCAAGGCATTTGTGCATGCATGCGTGTGGATGATTAGAAAGGCCATTTGCAGGAAATGGGTTGCAGAGAAAGATGGGGCTCTTTGTTCTAATGGGATCAGTGTTTTCTGGGCTTTCTGTCTGTGTAAGTCATGATGTGGCTAATGTTTTAAACATGCGCTGCAGATGTAGCCTGACCCTCTTAAATAAATGACTGCATCGCCAGGAGAGGGAGTCGTCTACGGATTAGCTTTGCTGTGGGTGAAATGCTCGGTATGCTCTTGTGTGACTCATACTGGCTGATAGGCAACAAAGGATGTGAAGCAGCAATAGGCATCCATACACAAACACACACACACACACACACATAGACTTACACAAACCTTTCTAAAACAATAAATTGATATAAAGGCAATTCAGTTAAATCAGATCATCATTCTGCCATCATTACCTCTTCTATTCCCACACACACTCTCGAAGCATATTAACGACAAAACCTATTTGTGTAGCAGAATGAGCACATCATCCCCAGCTTGATATCCCATCATTTTCTGCCTAATGCCTGAGGCTTTGCATTGCCCCACCAGCAGCCTCTCACTGCTCTGTTAGTTAACAAGGCTAGTCAGCAGCAGGATTGGTGCCCTGCTCATAACTTGCAGGGCAGCTCTGAAGCATCATAGCTCCTCACATTGAGATGTTCTCCTCAGAATCCCGCTTTAAAAGTGGGATTCATGAGGAATGTGTAGAAATGTGAGGTTATACAGGGTAGTACATATTAGATGAGATTCAAGTATTGAATTGAAAGCTCAGGGTCATGGTCTTGAGTGAGGGGATGATGGGGCATGGGAAAGAAGAAGCTGAGCTGCAAGGCAAAGCTTTCGATTTACCAGTTGATCTAAGCTCCAACCCTCCCCTATCGTCACCAGCTGTGACCATATATA